CTGCGATGCGGCTAACCAATGACATGACGCTTTTGTGGCGGGGCGGGCGGGGCCCTAGCAGACGACACGCGCCGCACCGGCGGCGGGAGCAGCAGCAAGCAGCAGTCGACGCGACGCGCGCGCGCCGGCGGCGGTCGGTGTGGGCGGAGGAGGAGGAGCAGGGCTCGCGCGGTGGAAGCGCGGAGCGACCGGGGAAGTTAATGGCGCAGAGTCATCGTAAATCAAATTATAGATTCGAGAAGGCCGCGCGACGCGACGCGCCACAGCTAGGAGGGCTGTGTCACTGCGCCTTGTCGTAACAAGTGAAAGGATGCCAATACGGTCCGACATGTTCCGTACGCGTGTTAAATTTTTTTTTGAGTGTGTGTGTGTGTGTTTGGCGCGAGAGTAGGAGAGAAGGGATGATTAAAAAAAAATATGCACTGTTTGCATGTTGGCTAAAGAGATGTGGTTTTCTTGGGTTTGTGAAAGAGTATTTAGATTTATTTTACGAAAAAGTTATACACCTTGCTTCAACTACATGGCCTTTGTTTTGCCAGTGCGCGGCCACACGGACACACACGCAACAGCCCCGAGATCCTTACGGAGCTACGTCCGTTGAGCCCCGTCGCTCTGTCCCCTGCAGGGCCGGGGGGCCTGCGAGCCGCGGGCCTGCTGGCGTGGTGGTGCGGCCTGCCCTGCCCTGGCTGTCCGGATCTCGCTTCTAGCCGGCCGTCGGTTCGCGTTCGTTTTCTCCAAACTTCCGTCACAAACAGCAATCCCCGGTTCACTCATTCACTCACGCACAACGAGTGTTACGTTGGGGATTAGAGAAAGACACTTTCCTATACAGCAGGAAACGGTATTCTTTTTCCCGTCACGTAGCGATCTGCTTGCTGCCGGCGTGTGAGCGAATGTGCGACACTGTGATTGAAGATTGCAACTCGACCCCAGCTAGCCCAGGAGTTGGATCGTTCCGATATCGAAACACCGAGCTCCCCGGACGACGCATATGCATATACACGCCTTATAATACTTGCTTTTGGTATAAATGAAATAATATAGCTATTTGTTTTGTTGTTACGAAAAGACAATATGACAATTTAAATATGTACTGGGAGTAATGAACCAGAACAATTTGTCCTATGGTAGGCTTCTCACTGTTTTTTCCTGTTCGAAATAGCTGCAATTTTTATCTGTCTGTCTGTCTGTCTTGTCCGTCTGTCTGTCCTGCTCCTGGCTCCGCCACCGACCGCACGCTATTAAGGTTGGAGCAGGGCAGCTGGCCGCAATGAAGTGAATATACAAGCTGATTACTGATCGCCCACGAGTCACCCTTTTAAACGTGTCATTAACAGTATACGACTCCCTGACGGGCGCGCGCAGTGTGGTGAGTGTGGGAGAGCAGGAGGAGACGACGACGGGCAGAGATGGTGGGAGAGAGAGAGAGACGGAATACGACTGAGAAAAGAGGGAGAGAGAGAGACAGAGACCGAGAGAGGCGACGGGCGTCGGCGGGGAGTTCAGCCACTGATACAGGGCGAGGAAAGCAGATTAAAAAGGGTGAGAGCGAGACAGAGAGAGGAGGAGGATGGTTAGATTGAGAGCAGGACTGACCGCTTGCTAACCAAGCCGCCACCGCCTTGCCGGCCCTGCCGCGCTCGAAGCATTAACCTCAATTTGTCAACGCGGTCTGTGAGAACGCAATCCCATCGGTGTGGCCGTTTGGGTGATGGGCAGTGTCAGGTGAGGCGGTGAGCTTGGGAGACGCGCACTCGAGTTTCCCCCCGGGAAATTATTATTTGGTTGCTGCTATTGCCTTCTTTCGTTCGTTATTGTTCCCTATAACCTCGCACCAAAATCCACCAAAACCTTCAGATTTATGGGATCTGCCGATAAAGGCTAATTAAGGTTTCTGACCTCTTCGTCTTTTAGTGCGATTTTATCAGATCAAGTATTAATTCATGTATGGGATTAGCGTAAAATTACTCGGCTCGTTTTTGCACGGGCACCACCCGGTTTTGGAGTGGACAGCTGGACGGGCGGGAGCGTCATGTTGCCAAAGTGGGTGACGGGTCCGGGGGGTCCGGCTCAGCTGCTGGGGCTGGCGGCGTGCTTTATGTGCTTCCGTGTCCCTAAATAGAATTTATTTTCGCAACGAGCGGGCGGCGGAGCGCCGACTCGCGCGCCGACTGCACGACTGCTTTGGTCCTCCGCTGGACCCTCCGTGGCGAAAGGCTTCACTTAAGCTGACGCCCGACTCGATTAAATCTCCCGCTCGAGAGGCGGCGGACACGAA